GTGTGTGTGTGTGTGTGTGTGTGTGTTGTGTGTGTGTGTTTGTGTGTGTCTGCCAGCACATGTAAGCGAGGGGCAATGGGGACAGGAGGAGGAGGTGACAGGGATGGGACGGGAGAGGGGGAGGAGTTGTGCATGACACGAGAAGCACAAGGCCAGGAGGAACGGGATGAGAGACGACCGGGAGAGCGAAGGGGAGGGATGGAGGGGGATGACAGTGCCAGAGAAGCCACTCTGTGGGTCGTGGGCCAGCAAGGAGGGACAGATCATGTGATGCGGATTATGAGGCACAAGGGGGAGGAGCAGCCCCCACACGCAGAGACCTGAGGAAGGAGGAGCGGCCAGAATGGGCAGTGGGGGAGAGCCACCTGATGCGGGTGGGGAGCAACAGCCACAAGGAGAGCAGTACGCGGGATGGGGGGAGGAGAAAACCAGGGGCAAGGACCGGGCGAAGAGGGAAGAGTCAGCAGTGGGGAAATGTACGGTGGGAGTTGGGAGCTTGGGAGAAGGCAAGTTGGGTGGGAGGAGCGTGAAAGAATGTTATTGGGACAGAAAGGGCACAGCAGGGAAGCTCGATGGAAACGGGGTCAGGGGGGGAGAGAAATCTGGGGAGGAGGAGCAGATGGAGTAGTACTGCAACCAAGGAGGTTCACTCTGGGTTCACTGCCCCTGCAGTTCAACGACAATTCAGTTGATATCAACTAGAAAATCTGTGTTTTTGTTTGCTCAGCCTGATTCAGCTGCAGTATTTGGAACAAGTCTCGACAAGAATATAACCCCCTTTTGTCTGCATCTGCATGTGTGTGTGTGTGTGTGTGTGTGTGTGTGCTTTGTGCTTGTGGCTAGTGCTTTGTGCTTTGTGCTTGTGGCTAGTGCTTTGTGCTTTGTGCTTTGTGCCTTGTGCTTCGTGCTTCGTGCCTTGCGCTTTGTACTTCGTGCCTTTTGTGCTATTGTGCTATTGTGCTTTGTGCCTTGTGCTATTGCCAACATGTGTGTGTTTGTGCTTTGTGCTTTGTGCTTTGCTTTGTGCTTTGTGCTTTGTGCTTTGTGCTTTGTGCTTTGTGCTTTGTGCTTTGTTTTGTGCTTTGTGCTTTGTGCTTTGTGCTTTGTGCTTTGTGCTTTGTGCTTGTGCTTTGTGCTTTGTGCTTTGTTTTGTGCTTTGTGCTTTGTGCTTTGTGCTTTGTGCTTTGTGCTTTATGCTTCCTGCTTGCTTTGTGGTTTCTGCTTTCTACTTTCTGCTTGCTTTGGGCTTTGGGCTTTGGGCTTTGTGCCTTTTGCATTGTGGTTCGTGCCTTTTGCTTCGTGCTTTGTGCTTTGTGCTTTTTGCCTGTGTTTTGTGCTTTGTGCCACTGGCGGCATGGATGGGACTGGAATGTGATTCGGTGGCCCATCAGGGGGCTATATGGATCCACACTATGAGGAGACGAAACAGTTCACGCAGAAAAGTGATGTGTACAGCTTTGGCATGGTGCTGCTTGAACTGCTCAGTGGTGTGCCATATCACAAGGGTGGCCCGAAAGGTTATCAATCTCATGTCTCAAACTGGGTACGTACGATCTACTAGTATCTACTTCCGGGGGTATCCTGACCTGGTTCAGACCAGGTTCAAACTTGGTTCAGACTCAGTTCCAAAATGGTCCAGAGTCCAGACTTGTTTGAACCTGGTTTGAGCGTGAGCCCTGTTCAACCAACCTTTGTTCTATCTAGTATCTACTTCTGGTTGCGTCCTGACGTGGTCTAAATCAGTTTCTCCCCGTCACCCCCGACTTAGTGCCAACTCACTACCAGCCCCAGCGCAGCAATGGCTGCCGCTGGGCGGAGCAGCTACCGTTGCAGCAACTCAGCAAAGTACCATGCAACGCTGCCGGAGTAGTTCAACTGCATATCGCCAAGGACGACTGCAGGACTCTGAAGGCACAGCTGCTGATGACAGCAACGCATCAGAGCAGCGAGGCACACAAGCGGAACGTAGCAGCGAGCAACAGCTCAGCAAACCACCTGGCAACGCTGCCAGAGCAGCTCAACTGCATATCGCCAAAGACGACTGCAGGACGCGAAGGCACGGCATGTGGATGGGTGGCAAGGCAGCATAGCAGCGAGGATGACATGCAAAGCAAGTGGGCGGGCACCAAGGCAGCGGTGGAGGGCAGACAAGGCAGTCTACACATCCAACAAAGCGGACCATCACCTACTCATATCACTAGTGAAGCCCGCAGACTGTTGGTCCCACCACACGCTGAGCCAGGGAATCACTCAGGCAAACATCCGTCATCACCCGCAGGAGACACAGATATCCCGAACTGAGCAGCCCCCCTAAGAGTGCTGCAGGCACTCCAAACAAGGAGTGACCGATTATTAGGCACTGCTTAAAGGTGTCAGCTAGGGCCACAAGAAAGGTACTAAGAAAAATGTACAAGGAAGAAAGAAAACAGACATAAAAATGATTGTGTGTGTGTGTGTGTGTGTGTGTGTGTGTGTGTGTGTGTGTGTGTGTG